TCAATAAGCACTAACAATCTTCCCACATTTCTTGTCAGCAGCGAACCAGGGTGTGTAAGGGGTGTCTCCTATTTTCATGGTATGAGTACAGTTGGCTTTAAGGAAACAGAATTCCAATGCAGTTGATATGGGATGCCAGTAAATTTCTTTACGCCAACCGGATTCATGCCTGGCCTTCTCCTCCTTAGAACACGTTCATGTAAAGCCACGTCCTTCCCAGGGCGATCTTCCATGAGAAACACAGTAATGTCGCTAAGAAAAATCGGTGGCCAGGATGTTATAGCATCACTTTCACGAAGCCAGTCTTTCAAAGTAGAAGGATCTGGCAAAGAAGATCCACTTCCCAAATCTAACAATCAAGCTTTCTCGTTCGCAGTGGTTGCGATCCTTTCTTCAGCAGTTGGTTGGAGAGGAATTCCCATTTTCGATGCTGCAAACGCACAAGCAACCAGTCCTTGCTTCCTTCGCGAAATGTTCAAGCCCCATTGACGGCAATAAAGCTTCAGAGCGTCACAATGCCAAGAGTTCATTTCATCGTAAGTTAGAGACTCCTCAGAACTCATCCCAGCCGGTCAGAAATTCTTGTCCTGAAATCATGACTTTAAATGAAATATTTTCCCTCAAAATTATCCGCTGAAACTGAATATTCAGTAATGGTGGTGCCCACTTTTCTGGAGCGCCTATTGTATAATGCATTGAGGCGGGAAACTCTTGATGCTTGTATTCGTCGGCATTTAGGTCCGACAAAGAAGCGACTAAAGGATCGAATTGAACAAACTTGAACCTTCCTCCAACAAGATGTTACTCTGGATGAAAGTGAGAACAAAGCCAATAAATTACTCCTCAAGTTGGAAGGAAACCTCAAATCTTATCAAGATCTACTGGAACAGCTACGAGAAGCATCTAAAGAAGACGAAGCTAAAAGGCAGCGACTGGAAGACGCAATGGAGGAGTTCAGTATTCTTGCGCTTGATGGAGACCAAGCTACTTGTGCTCTTAAAACACTTCTGATCGATATTGCTAAACGAAAAAAGGAGACAACTGAAAAGAAGGAAAACCAGAAAGAAAGAGTTCACGAAAGAGAACTTCAAATGGAAAAACTTCAACAAGAGAAGGGCCTTCACCTCGCAAAACGTAACCAAGAGAAAGAGATTCAAATGGACAAGTTGAAGTTGAAATTCGAAGCTAAAAGGAAGTAGGCCCAAACTGAAATGGAAATGGAGATCAAAAGAACAACTGCAGATATAGAACTCAAGATGAAGCAGAACAAAAACAAAAACGTCTTGAATTGGAAAAACAGTTTGGTGTTCCAATTACTCGTCACACCTCCACTATCAAGCTTCCCAAACTGGAACTTCAGAAATTCAATGAAAATATTTTGACGTGGCAAGAATTTTGGGTCTCTTTTAAAGCCTCCATTCACAAGAATCCAAACCTTCCGTCTGTGAACAAATTCAACTATTAAGAGCTAAATTAGAAGGAGATGCAAGTGTAGTTATCTCTGGACTGGAACTAACACCAGCTATAAAGTAGCTGTAAATTTACTCCGAGAGATTTGGAGCAGATAAACTCACTATGCTCACAAGATATCGACGACTTAAAGGAAGTTGCAGACGCCATAGACGACATGGACGAAGAACTTGAGGACATCCAACACGGCCTACATAAACACAAAGAAAAATCTGAATATCTCGACAACCAAAGCTGAAGAAATAATGTCCGTATCGATGGAATTCCCGAAGAAGACAACGAGAACTGGCTGAATACTGAAACAAAGGCGAAGGAAGTGCTTCAGGAAAAGCTACACTTGAGCTTTGAACCGGTGATTGAGCGAGCGCATCGCACTGGAACAAGATCAAGACCAGGTGCTGCTGATGGTATCAACACATGCCCAAGAACCATAGTGTGTCGTTTACGTGATTGGAAGCAAAAGGATGAAATTCTTAGAGCCGCCCGAAGGATGAAACCGCCTGGTACAAGGAGTTAAGAAATGCTGTTGAACAATGGGATCATCACAAGATCAGTAATTTCTGTGCGCAGAGGGAAATCAAATGGAAATTTGGGAAAGAATGGTCCAAACTACGAAGAGTGTTGAAGTCATTACTGAAAGAGCAGATCGTAACAGATGAAGTACTTGCTATTGTGATGGCAGAAGCTGTCAACAGTCGACCCTTGACACGCAACAGCGACAGTGACCTAAATGATCAGCCGTTAAACCCAACCATTTGCTACATTTACGTCCGACACTAAGCTTGCTACCAGGGTTGTTCGACAAAGAGGATCTTCATTCTAGGCATGTCTGGAGACAAGCTCAGTACTTAAGTGGAGTGTTCTGGCGGAGATGGTCTAATGAGCACTTACCGACTCTTATGGAAGGACAGAAATGGAGATCACGTAAAGAGAATATCAAGGTGGGAGATCTAGTTCTACTTGCAGATGAAAATTACCCTTGTGGTGAATGGCCAATCGCACGTGTTTGGGAGGTAGTTGCTGATGATGGTGGCTGTGTACGAGTGGCGAAAGTGAAAACCGCCTCCATGGTAGCTACCCATGCTAAGAGACAGGGTCGCAGAGAGGTGAAAACTAGCACTGTTGTGCTTACAAGACCTGTAACAAGCTTGTGTCGTCTGGAGATGGAAGACTAAGAAAGATTATTTCGTGAAATGACCGTTTATTAGCTATTTTATTTTTATTTTATTATTTTGCCACACACAATGAATTACAAGCAGAATAAAAACGATAATAAATAGGTCAATTAACATTAAAGTTAAAATTTGTGCATTACTTGGGAGGAGTGACTGTGGCGGGGAAATCTCCGAGAAGCCGAGCTTATGAGGAATAGAGATTTCCCCCCACAGGCAATTTAAATACTAGACGGCATTTTAAGAAATAGAGAAAAAAGTCGTTTATTTAAGTATATAAGTGTGTGTAGAGGAAAATATAGATATGAGGTGTTAAGGTATTTAGGTTGCATTCTGTCTGACCCTTAAAAATGGTTTGATCACACGCTTGAATATACTAAAAGACGGGGCATTTTTGATGTCGTTTGGTAATGAATTCCATATTCTAGGACCTTGAAACAACTACAGGTATGAGGTCGGTAAAAGTCAGAGTATCTTGTTGAATATTGATGAATCTGGTTTCCAGTTTGAAAGATTTGAGTAAAAGAAATAGGTAAAGCATCATTATGATATAGGTACATGAAAGAACTTACCTGAAGAGAGTAGATACTAAAAACATCAAGAATTTTTAAATTTGCAAAAACAGGTTTACTTGAACCCTTGTAGTCAGCTTTAGAGATCGCCCGGACTGCTCTTAGCTAGAGAATGTGGACTGTTGGAGTCGTTAGCCTTTGTTTGTAAATGAATTTCGGGCAATTCATTTAGGAGCAGGTGTCGCTCCCGCCTCCCCTTATTACTTAGGAGTAATTTGTTTGTTTATCATCACGTGACTCAAAAACATTTTTGCCTTGGTCAGGTTTATTATCGTGAGCAAGGATAGTATTTGAGTATATTCTACCTGTATTACATTTTGAAGCCGAACAGTTCGGTAAGTTGGCCTTTTTTTCTACATTCAAGTGATATTTACCTCTGTAATTTGCCAGAAAACCACATACAAGCTTCTACGAACTGACCACGAGGTCTGTGCCCAATGTCTTCGTTTGCTGTCGTTTGAGTACGATTGTTATCTATAAGTTGATACAAGATTTACATTGTGCAAGAAGTGCATTTTCGACTTTCAAAATAAAGTTGGATGACATTCTTTGAGTCTGCCGTGATTCGAACTAACAATCGTTGACTGACATGTGACATTTGATATGATTGCAAAAGATCGCATGTTAACCTTTAAGAAATAATTTTGATGTTTACGGGTGTAATTTTGATGTAATGTGCCTTTTGATGTTCGGTATTTGGATGCCAAAAAGTTTACAAAGCTTGGACAGATGTGAGTGAACGTAGAACATTTTGATCGTATTTTGTTTTCATTTAGTCATTTGCTATTGAATTTCCTTTCAAAATTAGAAACATGATTGTAACTGTTTATGTCGTAATTTTACAGCTTCAGATTAAACATTTTCCAATCCTGAATCTACCGAGCTTTCAATGTTTCTGGTCCTTTATGGTCAATATTAGATTTCTCATCGGTCTATCATCTGAAGATCTTTGAAAACTGAAGCAGTATTGCCGGTGAGGAATCAATGGAAAAAGCAAAGAATGTGCATCAAGCAGCAAAGTCTGCGTTTACCCGATCCATCAACGCTGGGAGAATGTTTCTGGATTCTAGTCGCCTGCCATTAGAAGTTCAGCACGTATTTGACGAAGTTAAGCTGCACACGACAATCTCATTGCCAAACACGAGGAATGTACATAATATGTCTCTTAATGACGAAGAATACCCTGAAGCCGAACACTGGATGGAGGATTGTACATTGCAATTTGTGGAGTTTACGATACGCATGAATGATTATTGTAAGGACAAAGATAAGGAAGTAAACGCAGCCAGCGTTGTCAATGTTAGCGAGCAAGAAACTCACGGATCACAAGAACGCGAAGTGGAAGTTGTCAATGAAAACGAAAACTAACAAAGCGGTGCAGCTAAGCAAAAGAGTAAATCAGGAACGCCCCTTGTAACGAAGCATGAAGAGCCCAAAATGCCGATGTTTTATGGTGATGTGCGCAAATATTTCATTTTTAAGGCCGACTTTCAGCATGCTGTTGAAAAATATTGTTCCGCGAGAGATGCCATTTCTATTCTGCGTTCATGTTTGGGACCAGAACCAGCAAAGTTAGTTGAAGGAATAAGCACCGATCTGAGGTCCGCATGGAATTATTTAGACCAGAATTATGGCGATCCTTGGATTATGTCTGATGTTGTTACATCCGATATAGAGCGATTTAAAGCTGTACAGACAGGCAAAGACCACCGATTTTGTGATTTAGTTTATCTCGTACGAAGATCGTACAACACTCTAAAGGAAGTGAAACGCACCCAAGATATCGACAACACCCTTGTAATATCACTGATCGAACACAAGATGACAAACGATGACGTGAAAATTTGGGCCCGCCACATTCACTCACAAAAGTTGGAGCCTTCAATGAAAAATTTGCCTAAATGGATGGATGAAGAAATGACTGCAAGGCTTCGATCTGGAGCAACGATACGCAAAACTGGCAGTACCACTCGTCCCTCCCTCAATTTACTGGGTGCTGATGGAAATTGGAATTCCTCC